TCTGGGGCATTTACCCTGTCACACCGCCCATGCAGTCACATCTGCTATCTTTTGTTACAATCTTTGATTATCATCGCGCCTGTTTGCCGTGTGAATCCATCAAGCCTTCAACAGACCTTCGACGCGCCGTCTACCTGGTGCTCCCCTGCCTCTTCTAATGCCGCGGGAGCACGATCACGTCAAGCGCACCGCCGAATCGCAAAACAGGCGCGTAAAAAGGCGCGTAAAAAGACCGGCTACGACTCGGAAGCGACGCGACGCGACTTGGCGCGTCTTTTCAACGAAAGCTTCAAGAAACCCCCGTACAAATGGCAGATCGATGTCACCGAGGCCTTTCTTCTTGTTCTTGAAGTCGTACTCATCGCTGGGACTGGCGCCGGCAAGACAATCCCATTCATGATGCCGCTGCTTCTCCGGCGGGAGAAATATTCCTTAGTCATATCCCCGCTGAAGGTACTCCAGGAGGACCAGGTGCGAAATTTTTGGTACATGTCTGGACATCCGACCGATTTTCTCCAGAAAGTACTATGAACATTGTGCGCGTCTCGCTTTTTCTGGGCTCAATTTCTCCAGGAACTCAACAAACAGGCTCAGAACGCAATATTCACGTCACCCGAAATGTTCCTTGAGCACGATACAATCCGCAAATAGCTCAAGGATCCCACCACGGGGAAACGGGCACTCGGGACTATCATCGACGAAGCACATTGCGCGTCTCAATGGAGAGGTGATTTTCGGCCCCACTACGCCCTTCTCAACAAACTACGCGCTATTCTACCTGTGGGCTCGCCGATTCTAGCTGCGTCGGCGACTTTGAGTCCATTTGCGCTCAAAGACATTTGTTCGAGTCTTGATCTGGACTTGAACAAGACTTTCTTTTTAAATTTGGAAACGACCGCCCGAATATAACGCCATCTGTCGTCGAGATGAATGGCGCCAAGGACTGCCGTTGGCCCCCGTCTGCCCGATCCATCCGACGTTCACTCTCGCATGGGTCTTCCCAAAGGAGTAATTTTCATGAATGCGGTCAAGAAAACCCAAATCATGGCCGCGCGACTGCGACGTCGCTATCCAAAAATCCCCTCCAGCACCATCGATTTACTCCACGCCCACCGGACCGCGAAAGCGAAGCGTCGCGTTATGCGAGATTTTCGAAAAGGGAAGATAAGGATACTTGTCGCGACTGAGGCGGCCGGGATGGTAAGTCAATTTCTTTGTTATTCTCCTAGAATACCAATCGAATTGAACCTGTATTCCAGGGCGCTGATATCCCAGACATTAGCATGCGCAAAGAAAAAAAAAGCACATGAGGAAGTAACATTTGGACACGGGGAGTCGAACCCCGATCTGCCTCATCATTCAATTTTGCATTCTTGCCTAGGAATAGAGGATGTGTACCTTACACCATGTCCGATTATTTATCCACCTGTGAGGTCGAGTAGGTCAGCATCCTTCATCCCTCATACATAAGCCAAAAACGAGAGATGCAGACTGCATTCGGACATGGGGAGTCGAACCCCGGGCTGCCTCGGCGACGACCGTTCTGTGCATGCGACGAGAAGAGGCGGTGTTCCGGACACCATATCAGATTTGTGTAGTCCTGCAAGATTGGATAAGTCAGCAAGTTCTTCGCAGCGCAAGGAAAAAGACACTGGTCTGTAAGAATTCGGACACGGGGAGTCGAACCCTGATCTGCCTCATCATTCAATTTTACATTGTCGCCGGGAATAGAGGATGTGTACCGTACACCATGCCCGAGTAGCTTATATTCCTACGCACTTGGGTATGTGAGCATTTTTAGCGGGCAAGAGAAAAAGAGGTTGGGCCAGCGATATTCGGACACAGGGAGTTGAACCCCGGACGGCAAGGCGAGAGGCAATGTTCCATACTATACCATGTCCGATTCTTTATCCACCTGCGAGGTTGGATAAGTGAGCATTTTTCATCCCTTAGACAAAAAAAACGACCTGGGATACGTCTCATTCGGACACGGGGAGTTGAACCCCGATTAGCCTCAACATAACCATGATCTACAAGAAGAGGAGAGGCGGTGTTCCGTACACCATGTCCGATGAGTTGTATACTTGTGGACTTGGGTAGGTGAGCATCTTTCCGGCAGGCAAAGAAAAAAAAGCACACTTGGACGTGACATTCGGACACGGGGAGTCAAACCCCGATCTGCCTCGTATGATATTTTTCTCCCCGCCATGACTGGGGCGGCGTTCCGTACACCATGTCCGATGCTTTGTATACCTGTGGACTTGGGTAGGTGAGTATATGATGCAGGAGTGGTTCGGAATTCGGACACGGGGAGTCGAACCCCGATCTGCCTTAAAATATGGCTAAACACGCTCAGGAAGAGAGGCGGTGTTCCAAACACCATGTCCGAATATTTGTATACCTACGAACTTGGGTAGGTGCTTATCTTTCCGGCAGGTGAAGAGAAAAAAAGGAGTGAAACTGGGCCCTGACCTATTCAGACCCGGGGAGTCGAACCCCGGATTGCCTCGGTACCAAGATATGTGTGTACACACAAGAGGAGAGGCGGTGTACTCTACACCATATCCGATTATTTCTTTCGCTGCGAGGTTGGATAGGTGAGCATCTTTTCGGCTGGCAAGAAAAAAATAGACGAAAGGCACCATTCGGACACGGGGAGTCGAGCCCCGATCTGCCTCAGAACTCATTCAATGTGCAAGGAGAGAGGCCGCGTACCCTACACCATATCCGATGATTTCTATACCTACGAACTTGGGGTAGGTAAGCATCTTTCCGGCAGGCACAAAAAAAAGACAGCAGAGAATGTGATTCGGACACAGGCCCGAGTTGAATCCCGGACTGCCTCAGAACCGGACGAAATTTGGAAGAAACAGAGGCGGTATTCCGTACACCATGTCCGATGATTTCTATACCTCGAATTTTGGGTAGGTGAGTATCTTGGAGTGCTGGAGCAAAAAAAAAGGGCCGGATACTTCAAGTTATGCATTCGGACATGGGGAGTTGAACCCCGATCTGCCTCATACTTTTTCATCCTTCTCATTTAAGGAAGGAGGCCATGCACCGCGTACCATGTCCGATTATTTTTATCCCTATGAACTTGGATAAGTGAGCATCTTTCCGGCAGGCAAAGAAAGAAAAGCACACTTGGAGGTGACATTCGGACATGGGGAGTCGAGCCCCGTACTGCCTCAGCGAGTTACTCTGAAGAATTCAAAGGGAGAGGTGGTGTTCCATCAAAGAAAAAAGGGCCGGATACTTCAAGTTTTGCATTCGGACATGGGGAGTTGAACCCCGATGTGCCTCAGAACTCATTCAATACGCAAGGAGAGAGGCCGCGTACCCTACACCATGTCTGATGAGTTGTATACCTGTGCACCTGGATAGGCGAGCAGCATCTCTTTCCGGCAGGCCAAGAAAAAAAGGCACACTTGGAAGTGACATTCAGACATGGGGAGTCGAATCCCAGGCTGCCTCGGTGATGACCGTTCTGTGTATACGATGAGAAGAGGAGGCGGTGTTCCATACACCATATCCGATTCTTTGGAGACCTGCGAGGCTGGGTAGGTGAACATCTTTAAGTGCAGGAGCAAAGAAAAAGGATGTGACCGGGATTTGCTATTCGGACAGGGGGAGTCGAACCTCGTACTACCTCAGCGAGTTACTCTGAAGAATTCAAAGAGAGAGGTGGTGTTCCATGCACCATATCCGATTCTTTGGAGACCTGCGAGGTTGGATAGGTGGGCTTCTTTCCGGCGGAACGAGAAAAATGGACTACAAAGATAGCACAGATAACCCATTCGGACACGGGGAGTCGAACCCCGATTAGCCTCAACACAACCATGACCTACAGTGGAAGAGGAGAGGCGGTGTTCCGTACACCATATCCGATTATTTTTAGTCCTGAAAACCTTTTTAGGTGAGCATTTTTCTGGCAGGCCAAGAAAAAAAACGACACTTGGAAATGATATTCGGACACGGGGAGTCGAACCCCGAGCTGCCTCATATAATATCTTTCTCCCCGTCATAAGAAGAGAGGCAGTGTTCCGCACACCATGTCCGAATACTCTCTATACCTAAGAACTTGGATGGGTGAGCATATTTCTTCCCTCATCGGCCAAAAGAATCTATATCCAGACCACATTCGGACACGGGGAGTCCAACCCCGATCTGCCTCATTCAATTGCACGCTCTCACTACAAGAAGAGAGGCAGTGTTCCGTACACCACGTCCGAATACTCTCTATACCTAAGAACTTGAATGGGTGAGCATATTTCTTCCCTCATAGGCCAAAAAACTTGCTTCGTAGACACCATTCGGACACGGGGAGTCGAACCCCGCTCTGCCCTCGTTCAATTTATCTCCTTTCCACAAGAAGAGAGGCAGTGTTCCGTACACCATATCCGATGATTTCCATACCTACAAGCTTGGGTAGGTGAGCATCTTTCCGGCAGGCAAAGAAAAAAAAGCACACTTGGATGTGACATTCTAATTCGGACACGAGGAGTCGAACCCCGATCTGCCTCATTCAATTGCACGCTCTCACTACAAGAAGAGAGGCGGTGTTCCATACACCATGCCCGAGTACTCTCTATACCTAAGAACTTGGATGGATGAGCATATTTCTTCCCTCATAGGCCAAAAGAAGCTATTTTCAGACCACATTCGGACACGGGGAGTCGAACCCCGATCTGCCTCATTCAATGTCATATCCATGCAATAAGAAGAAAGGCAGTGTTCCGTACACCATATCCGATGCTTCCCATACCTACGAACTCGGGTAGGTGAGCATTTCCGGCAGGCGAAGAGACAAAAAGGTAGGAGGTAGCCTATTCGGACACGGGGAGTCGAACCCCGATCTGCCTCATTCAATTGCACACTCTCACGACAAGAAGAGAGGCGGTGTTCCATACACCATATCCGATGATTTCCATACCTACGAACTTGGGTAGGTGAGCATCTTTCCGGCAGGTGAAGAGACAAAAAGGATGAAAGCTGGCTTATTCGGACACGGGGAGTCGAACCCCGGACTGCCTCCGTTCACGGGCTACAGTGTAAGAGGAGAGGCGGTGTACCCTACACCATGTCCGATTATCTATTTCGTTGCGAAGCTGGTGAGGTACACATTTTTTGGGCCAATTTTGGGCGCTTCCGCGTGGCACGTCGCGATCACGCTCGAGAGTTTAGACACCGCCTCGCGAGGTATTTATAGCCCTTTGGTAATAGCGCAATTTTCATGACATCTGACAAGGATTTTCAGAGCGCGGGTGGCGCATATGTATTATGGAGGAGCGAATGGATCGGATGACAGACAAGCTGAATTGAATTGAATTAAATTTTGCGTCGGCGGAGTGTGTCAACGGGAATTACGCGGCGACACCGTTTCAGGTTAGGCGGATTCGGACGTGGATGGGAGCGGTTACATTAAGTATTAGGAGCGGGTGGAATGGAATGGAATGGCGCAAGAAAGAGGTCAACCGCCACTGGGCCCACTTCGCTTCGGGACCCGACTCGGGGACGAACGAACGACGCGCGGCGGATGACAAACGGTCAAGAAATTTGCAAATCCGGCTATGCCCCGCACTCGTGATGCGGGGCCGTGTGGGGCGGGGGCAGAGATTTGCCGTCGAGAAAGTGGGCATCGGTCGTGGGCGCAGGGAGCGTGAGCTCGAGGGCAGTGCGCGCGAAGAGGACGGCGGGGGCGAAGAGCGGGAGCGAGAAGCATAAGGGTGCAGCGCGGCGGCGGTTCTTGTTCGGGACCTGTTTATACATACATACGGTACGTTGTGATCGCGCCCAGGCTAATTCATCCGGGGATTAGAAGGCTCTTGTGATTGTCAGCTGGCACCCGCCTCTATAAACCGCAAACAAGCCAACTTTTTCTTGCTTGTTGTCCCCCGCGCCCATCCTCCCTACCCCGTGTACAATGTCCGACATCGAGAAAGGCACGCACCACACCGGCGCCGGCAGCTCGCTCACCGCCGCGCCGCGCCCCAGCACCATCGCGAACCCCGGCGCGCTCGGCCTCTTCTCGTTCGCGTCCACGACGTTCATCCTCAGCTTCTACAACGTCTCCGTCCGCGGCATCACCCACCCCAACGTCGTCGTCGGTATGGCCCTCTTCACCGGCGGTATCGCCCAGCTGCTTGCCGGCATGTGGGAGTGCGTCCCCCTCCCATCCTCCTTGTGGTAGAGAGAGACTGACGAAGACGCGTAGGTTCCCGCGCGGCAACGTCTTTGGCGCGACGGCCTTCACGTCCTACGGCGCCTTCTGGCTCTCGTACGCCGCGATCCTCATCCCCGGCTCCGGCATCGCCGGGGCCTACGCGGACAAGCAGGAGTTCCACAACGCCATCGGCATATTCCTCTTCGCGTGGTTCATCGTCACCGTCCTCCTCCTGTGCGTCTCCCTTCCCTCTCTTCCTCAGCTCTCCCCCCTCCCTCTCTTTCCCCCTCCCCTCCCCTCGCTCCGCGTCGCTCGCTGTCGGCTGTCGCTTTTTTCGCCTGCGCACGCCGTACCTATCATTCCCTGTTGATGCATCATATTCGAAGCACCCAACCGCAACCCCATTCTGTTGCATTCCATTTATTTCATCAATTCCATATATTCCCCACACCACCTGATTCGCACCCGCGTTCCCGTCGCTCGTCTCTCGCTGGTGGCGCCATCCCCATCCCTCCTCCATTCATCCCTCATTAATAATCCTCCTTGCCCCCCGCACCCGCGCCCGCGCCCACATAGCCCCGCACCCGCGCGCGCGCCCGCGTATCCCCATCCCGCGCCCTTTTATCCGCTCGCGCCTTTTTTCGCCGTCCTCTTTATCCCCCCATCCCCGGCGCCGGCGCCCACCACATACCCGCATACCCATTTATCACCCCATTCCCACATCATTTATTCCCCGCTCCCACACCCACGTCCGCACCCCGATCCGCCATTTCTCCGCGCGCGCACACGCGTGATCCCGGGGATTCTCCGGCCCGCATGGGCGCGCACACGTGAGGGGATCTTGAATCCAACTTGCGCGCGCTCTCTTCTCTCCCCCTCACCCGCTCTCTGTTCTCTCTTGCACTCCACGCGCTAACCCCTCTTTTTTTTACTTCCAGGATCGCCTCCCTCCGCAAATCGATCGCCTTCATCGCGCTGTTCGGCTTCCTCAGCCTCACGTTCCTGCTCCTCGGCGTGGGCGAGTTTACGGGCAAGGCGGGGTGCGTTTCGTTTCTTATATTATATGCATATGCGGGCGAGTGGTGGGGGACCGAGGCGGGGTGGGTTGATGACGACCGGCGCGCCCGCGCCCGTGTCTCCTTCTCGTTCCCTTCTTTCTCTCTTCTTCCCTCTAAACGTTCGCTATCCCGAGCCGTTCACTGACGCTTACACAGCGTCGTAACCGGTGGCGGCGCCCTCGGCATCGTCACCGCCTTCATCGCCTTCTACATCGGCCTCTCAGACCTCCTCGCCGCCGAGCGCGCCGCCGTGCTCGGGCTGCCGACCGGCGGGTTCAAACACGACTGATTAGGCGTGTCTCCTATCCTTAGTTATTAGCAGCGCCTTCGCTTCGTTCTCTCGTTCCTCGTTCCGCGCGGTTGTACATATTTTGGGGGGGAGAGAGTAATGAGAGGCGGGAGGGAGGGGAGGGGGTAGCGTACCGATTCTTTTATTGAGTGACGGTGGTTTTAGTGTATGCATCGCATCTATACTTTCTTCGCTACGGCTTGAGGTGCGCCGCTGATAACAACAACAAAATCCGCCTTTGGGTGGAGGACACGACATTCGTTACATTTACTACTGTAGGACATGGTTGCTACAGAGACATTCATTTGGTTACGCATAGTAGATTTTCTTTTTAATCCCTCCGACGAAGCTGATGAGAGTAGATATGTAAGTGGGTGTGGGAGGGGAAGGGAATCAGATGTGGTGTAGTGGGAGCACGGCTTCTTGTCATAGATAATCGGTTGAGCATTTCGGCGGCAGTCCAGGGTTCGAATCCCTGCGTCTGAGTTATTTATTTTTTCCTCTTCTTTTTTGCGTGGGATCAGACACAGGGAAGGGATGTAAATGGTGGGAGACAGAGGGAAGAGTATCAGATGTGGTGTAGTGGGAACACGGCCTCTAGAGCTGGCGTAAAGCATATTGCTGGCACTTTCAGAGGCAGCCTAGGGTTCGAGTCCCTGCGTCTGGCCTGTTTTTCTTCCGCCACCCTTAGTCGAAGAAGAAGAATGGAGGAGGGAGTGATAATGGGATGCTGGGAGGGTGAAGAATATCGGATGTGGTGTAGTGGGAACACGGCCTCTTTATGTACGACTGCGTGAAATTTTAGAGGCAGCCCGGGGTTCGAGTCCCTGCATCCGAGTTACTTATCTTTGCCTCTTTTTAAATCGAGGGAGAATGGAGTAGAAGATAGAGGGGTGTTAGGAAGGGAAAGGAACTCAGATGTTGTGTAGTAGGAACGCGGCCTCTTGTCATAATTTATCGGCTGAAGCATTTCAGCGGCAGTCCGGGGTTCAAATCCCTGCGTCTAATTTGCTTTTTCTTCCACGAGGTTCTTAGTTGAAGAAGAAGAATGGAGGAGGCAGTGATATTGGATTGCTGGGAATAAAGGGAAGTCAGATGTGGTGTAGTGGGAACACAGCCTCTTACAATGGACCAAGAAAAATGTAGGCTGAGAGGCAGTCCAGGGTTCGAGTCCCTGCATCTGAGTTTTTGTTCCGGACACTTTTCCCGCCTCGAGTCTCCGCAGACTCCTCACTACACCAGTGACACTATCACTACTGAATAATCAGACATGGTGTAGTGGGAACACAGCCTCTCTTCTTACGCTCACCACGAGAATGAGGGGTCCGGGGTTCTAATCCCTGAGGCTGTGTCTGAATTGTCAAATGGAAAGCCTTTTTGCTCCCTTTTTTCATTTATTTTGGTGGTGATTCACGGCGGAGGTGTTCAAGAAGAGTCTGAGATATAGACTGAGATTTTTTTTGTTGAACTTGCGATCAAGACGATCGTCGGCTGAATTTTCACGGCCGGCGTCGGCCGAGCGGAGTTTCAATACGGCTTGCCTCCTACGCTCATGTCGTGGCGTCGCCGCTCGGGACCATCTCAGTCGAAGTCGAAGTCGTCGACCTGCGCCTTAGGTCTCCCGGGCCTGGGCATATCTCTGGCATCGTGTGGGCCGCCGGCCCACCGCCAACTTCGAATTCTACAGGCTGTGCGCCGAGGGACTGACTCAGTCCCAGACCCGTACCGATTCCTCTGCCGGCCCCGCGTTCAAGTCTTCATTCCCCTGGTCTGCGAACCCAAGTGCCATTGTATTCCGCTGTGCGCGTTGTCTTCGCTATTTGACGAGCAATCTCCCCGCAGCGCATTCTCTGTTTCCTCAATTCTCGAAGCTCTAGACGGAGTCAACATCTTTGCCCCCCCCCGTACTTCTGTCCCCTGCTTGAACTTGAACTGGACGTCCGATCGAACCATCTCGCTGTCTATGGCATGCTTCAACCCTTTGTCCTAGTCCAGCCCTGGACACTTCAGTCTCCTACTTCGCTCGTTGGACTTCGGCTATTTACGCTCGCTTCCTGCATCCATTTATTCGCCATCCTAAAATAGCCCCGGACTAACCTCGCTGTTCCATCCCGTAAACTCGCAGGAAATACCACGAACAAAGGAAAAGGGGGAGTTATATTGTCTCCGAGCGGCGCTGACACGTATCACCGAGGTTGGGGATGATTTGAATCTCGGTGTCTGAGCGTGCTTTATTTGGGCTCAGCTACATACAACTCCCAGGGTTTGATGTATTCTCGTCCGGCTCACTCGGAACGCCTGATGGGAGCTGGAAAACGAACTTACGGCCAGTGGGTCAGGTTAAACAGTCCTGCTGAATCATGCACGTCCCACAAATGGTTAAGCATAAAACCCAGTCGGCATGATTTTACAACTAAACCATATACAATTCAAATCCCCGTCTAGCGCCGCCCTTGCGCCTTGAAAACCTCCATCTCCGCCGGCGTCACCGCCCGGTTCTCGCGCTTCCAAATACCCTCCTCTTCCGTATCCGGCAGGGGAGGCGCCATGCCGTTCTCGTTCCACAGCGTGCGCTGCGAAGTTAAAAGTGAGCCGATTATTCGCATCGGCATGAAATGGATAACGCCGCACATCAGCATCGGTGATCTGCACCTCCCAGTCGATCCCACGGCCCTTGGTGAAGGGCGCGAGCGCCGCCTCGTAGCGATCCATGAAGTCTCGCTTCGAATTGTCGCTGTGATTTAATCATTTAAAAGATAGTTCAACTTGGACAGGAAACTACTCACTCGGAGAAATTTCGCGCGTAGTGCTCTGCGGCGATGCGCAGGAACTTGTCGGTGCTCTTCCCGCCGACGAAGAAGTTCTCGGGGTCGAGCTCGATGAAGAGGACGAGGACGTAGAATTGGGGGAGCGTCTTGTAGACGGCCGTCACGGCGGCGGCGATCGCGGTCTTATCTGCGGGGGAGTACATTCCCTTGGGCGTGAAGAAGCGGTGGAGAGGCATTGTAGTGGGGGAGTGGTTGAACCAGTGGAGGTGGTGTGCTGCCTTCGAGTTGAACTTCGGCTGTTATATGTTGAATGTGTCTCGGCCTTTGCTCGGGCTACTCCGGGGGTGCTTCAGTCAGCAAACGTCATGCGGTGAAGAAGCGTGAGAACTGCCAGAAATGATATTCCCCCTCCTCCAAGAGAAATCCAAGGGAGGTTCACTAAAGAAAATTGCATACTGAATGGTTGCAAGCTGGGATGTTCATGGAAGAAGTCTAATATAATTTCGGGGGGTTTGAACCTTCCGGCGATGGCGAAAGGTTGAACTGGTCGGGCTTCTCAGGGGTTCGGGCATAGCTTCGGTGAGCGAGATCACCCTTGATTATGGAAGCCGGGGAGAGCGGCGAAGCCTGCAAAGTGACAGTGATTATCTCCAATACGCATCAGTAAGCCGGCAAAATTCAACCACAGTTCAGAAACTGGCGTCCTCGGGCAGCTATCTCTTTCTCACCGAGCGAATGTCATCAGGCCTCGTGGTTCTACGTGTAGACGGAATTGCTCCATTTTCACTTCGGGAGAGTAGATTCGTAAACACAAATACAACATAGGGAGGGATCCTTTCGTGCCTGCTACGCGTGCAAACTCGAGATTCCAGCCCGCTTCAAGTCTGGAAGGATTCAGATGAGACTTAAGGATCTCGGTTTGATCCGACGCACTTTTCGGGATATTGGGACGAATCGACGCCGCCCATACAGTTGAAAAGGCACTAGCCGGCGTCAGTCTACAAACATCCCAAACTTCATTTGACAACATACTTGGGCGCTCCCATATCGTTCAAGTCTCCGGGTTCGAGGCTGCCGGTGTCAGGTCCGCAGCACGGAGAGTTGGTGCCCCAGATGGGACCTGCGGCCCAGATGGACCACCCGATCCACTCGTCGTTGGCAGCCATGTATTTCACGAGATCATCGATCATCTGTGGAGCCATTTAAACCCGACTTCTCTGTGCCCAACGGCGGACGCACCTGAAAGCAATTTTCGTTGTCACCTCCGCCGAATTCACTGAGTACTGCTCTGTAAGGGGTGCGCCCAGTCAAAGTGTATGCGGTGCAAGGTGTATATCTCTCACTTGAGATTGTTCTCGCGCAGCCAAGTCGTCAAATTGGCGAGATTGGAAGGGCCTGAACACATGAGACGCCTTGTGGAGCCAGTTTTACTATGCACGTACCCGGTTGTGTGCACTCTGCGTGTCCCCCGGAGAAATCGATGTCTGCCAGAAAGGTCATTGAAGTAGTATTTTGCGTGGGGCGCTAGGACTGACCCAAATACTATTGGGTTCGTCAGTAAATGGCTCAATGAGAGAGGTTGGCCCTTCACCTCATGGATATCCATCGCAGTGTTCTTTATCGGATCCACCAGCTTATTCATGAAATCGCTAGACGGGGCATCCCCAGCAGCACCCGAAAATTGCGTCCAGGCGTGACCACCGGTGAAGCCGTTCCCTGGTGCGAGGATTAGCTGGAGCGCACCCGCCGCACGGATGCCGTTGATTGCAGCCTGATTGTTTTTCAGCAACAGGTCCGTGGGCTGGACGAATAGTTAGCGGTGTACGATTGCTGGGGAAGCGATCAAACCATATCGTGGGGCTCGTTGTTTATCCCGAATATGACTTTCGGGTTGTGAACGAACCGCAGGGCGAGTTCGTGCCAGAATTCCTCGAATTGCCTGGTTGTCGCGGCCGTGGGATCGGAGCTGTTTCCGATAACCTGTTGGGCTTGATCAGGAATAGCGGCGGTCCAGAAGAGTGTTCTCGTACGCTTCCTGTGAAGGGCTGCATTGAGGGATCGCTGTCGTGGAAGTGTCAAGAACGGAGTTCAGAGGTTGGATGAAACAGACGAACTTGTATCGCATATAGTTGTGAGGGTCGAGCAGAGCGTATGCACCCTTGGTGAGTGTGATATAATTGATGGCGTCTGCATACTCGCTGAAATACTGCAGAAATTTCAGTGCCAACCGATCGGTTTCGAGTGCGATGCCTACCGTTTCGTTGAACTTCCTCCCAAGCCCGAAGGAGAGGGGGCACATCCGTTCCATGAGGAATGTGACACGGAAGAAATTGATTTTCTCTTGGTCGACAAAAATATCCACAGTGCTCTGGGACATGTCATTGGCGCAGTAGGGGGAAAGAGTTCAGCCCACACACTTTGTTGATGAATGCATAATCTACACCAAAGCGTCCAGGCAAGCCGAATCCAGGCGTATCGACTGGGGCAAAGACGCCAAACTCTCCTCCGGACTGAGGGATAAGATGTGTTAGCTCTTGAACCAGCGGTAGCGAACGTGTCTACCTCGTTGACACCAGCATACAAGATTTTAGCCCATGCCGCTGCAAGGAAAATATAAGGTGTGAGGTATGAGAGAAGCATATTGAGTGCTTTGAAGGAATGCGAGGGATCCAATGGTTCTTATATCCGCACGGAGGGTATAAAATGCCTAAAATTGAGCAGCATTCCCCACCGCGGGTGATTCTCGGCGCGACTCGTTTGCGAAGCACAGCGACTACTGTCGAGCATGGGAGACACGGGACCTCGGGCTTCATGCGGAAGCAATTCCACGTCGGTGATGGTCGAAGAGGCCATGAGAAATATGCTGGCAGCTGCACCAGAGCGTGAGTTTGCGCCCGTACGTGATGGGGATGAGCCAGGAATGAGCCTCCCGTAGAACTTCAACCATCCCGGACCTCGATTCGGTTGGATGGAGCGTAGGGACGTTCAGTCAACAATGATCCCTATTGCGAGCTTGTGGTTGGGGGAGCCAAGAGGTGGTCGGCGGAAAGAGCCGTGATATCATGCACAGCTTTGCAGTGCCACAGGCGACCGGTCCGACCTCCTTTGGATTTCTTTAAGTGGGCGGGACTCGTTTTCGATGTAGCTCTGTGGATTGCAAATATGATCTTAAGAAAAAAACTGGAGCTCCCCCATTTTCATATAGCCCCAGGAGAGCTGTCTCTTCACATTCTGCAGAATGTGGCGAGATAAAGTGCAACGGACACATTGATTGGACCCGGACTTCGGGACTTGGTCCGGCATATCAATACGGACAAACAAACGCGTCTTGTCCTCGACGTCCTCGACGTTCGCGCTGGGGCGCGTCCCACGGTCTCTACAACCCACTTACGACTTATAATGGCCTTTAATTTCCTC